GACATCATCTCATTGGTTTGTTTTCGGTTTTTGTCGCACAATGAACTGTCCATCAAAAGCATGATCTCCTGTCATTTGTAACAATATGGACAGACTTGGAAGATATTATGTTAAGTGAAAAAAGTCAGTTGCAGAAAAGACCACCCATTTGTGATTTCACTCATATGTGGAATCTAAAATGGCTGACCTCATAGATGTGGACAGTGGAATGGTGATTACCAGAGGTTGAGGGAAAGATGAAGGTTGGGAAGGAGGAGTTGGTCAGTATCATTAGATAGGAAGAGCAAATTCTGGCATTCTATGGCACAACAGGGTGAATAGAACAAAATGCCTTATATATCTCTAAAGAAAAGAGAAAATTTCTATTGTACTCACCCTAAATAAATGGTAACTTTTAAGGTGATGTGCTAATTACCCTGAGTTGCCCACTATACAGTATGTACTTGACTCAAAGCACCACATTGTGCCTCATAAAATAGATGCAAATATTATGTATCAATAAAAATAAAATGAAAAAAATGAGAATAACTTGGTACACAGTGGGTGCTTTACCTTTGATAAATTTCAGTTGGGAATCAGTAGGATCCTGATATGATCTGAGGGTGCTATCTGTATTTGAGAGATATCTGTATTTGAGAGATATCATCTGCTCAAAGCCAGAACCAGTGGTCATGTGCCTTGAGTCAAGACAGGTGTGGTTCACTATAAAGCCAGGCATACCTTCTCTGTTAGTTCAGTCTGCCTGTATCTGGATAAGATCGATGGTTCTGTATCCCATTCATCCCATTTGATGAGAACTGTAAGGAGAAGCCAGTTGAGCCAGCTACATCTCTGTAGAACATTTTGTGAGAGAAAGTTGTCCAGAACAGCTGCAAATAAAAGAGGAGCCAGTAGGGTCCCTGGAAGCTACCTTGGAATAGAATGGAACAACCTTCCAAAACCTGGGAGTTCGGGGGGCGGGGAAGTATCTGTCCTCTCTGTTAGATGGAATGGCCAGGTGCTCTTCCTGCTCTAATGCTGGGGATGTTGTTCCCCATTCTCTGAAGTTCTCCCTTCAGGCATCCTCTGGCTCTCAACAAAGGGAGTCCCTCATTTTGTGGTGACACTGCCTCCTGAGCGTGGAGGCTCAGGCTCATTTGTATAATAGGGGTGTAAACAAGGTGGTAGCAGTGTCCTGCTCCTAATGATGCTCTAGGAGTAAAAGGAAGAATGCCACTTGGAGAATGGCCGTGTAAATGCAGGCGTCCTCCTCTTCTGTGTCACTGTGCCACGGCAGGTCTTCCTTCATATCCCCATCTGCAGAAGCTGCCTGTGTCTTCCTGTTTTGCTGCCTGGTGAAGGTGTGGTGTAGAGTGGACCTGGACAGGATGCACTGGGTCTTGTCTTGATCTCCAGTGCCTTGTAGTTCATAATCATGTGCAACTCAAAGTTACTTTCCTGTGTCTCCCTCCCATCCTGTCCAGCTCTGGCTTGACTGGAAGATGGTAGGGGATGAGGAAATAGCAGTGAGGGAAAAGCATGGGAGAGGTAGTGTTTCATTTAAGGACACGAGGACAGCATTGAGCGTAACCCCAGTCATTGCCAAACACAGCTTGGTGCTTCAGTCTGAAGGGCTCTGATGGCTTTCCACAGGAGTCTCAGCCAAAAGCTCTTGCTCAAGTCTGAAGATACAGAGGGGCTGAAGAGGAGGTGGGCGTGGAGCAGAGGAGAATGGGAGAGAAGAGAAGGAAAAGTGAAGAAGATGAAGGTGAGAAGAGGAAAGAGGCACCAGGGAGAGGAGGGCAAGGGCAGAGGGAAGGGACCTCTAGGAAAGGAGCACGGAGTGGCAAAGAGCAGAGGACAGCGAGAAAAGGAAGCTTCCGAGAGAGGCGTATGCAGTGCCCCGGGGCAGGAAGGGTGGGGAAGAACAGGGGTTCGGTAACACAGCTGGCCTCTGTCATCGAGAATGGCGTGCCTGCTGACTGAAATACAGTTATTTTAAGAACGTGTTGAAATTTGCAAAAAGTTGAGAAACATTTTCCCTTCTCAGGTGAAGGAGGGCTTCCTAGGTGATTTGAATTTCATAAATTACTGGTCTTCTGTCTGGGAAAGTAAATCCCAAGAATGCTGGTGAGATGAGGAAATGCAGAGCTTCGTGGGTGTTGGTCGCCCCCTGCTGGTGAAATCCAGGTTCTGCACGCTCCAAGCTGATGAGAACTAGTTTGAAACTGAGTGGTGAAGGCTGAATTCTCCATCCCCTCTCCTAGGCCATTAGAGCCACATGGGGTGTTGCCTCTAGAGTCTGAGTCTTTCCTGTAAGCTTTAGGCTTGGATTTTTATTGGTCTGATGGAGAGTTCCACTTGAACCTCAACTCAGCAGGTCCACATGAAGTTTCTTACTTTCCTGATCCTGCAGGCCACCCATGCATCCTCCTGATGATGTCTGTGAACAGCATGTTCACCCCGATTCTTAGCCATGAGTCCCTCCTTATGCTCCTCTTGCTCTTTATCCACACTCTTTAGTCAGGAATCTTGTTGAAATCACCAGGAGGATACTCTCCATCGCCCCCTCATCACCAGGAGGATACTTTCCATCAGCCCCTTATCACTGCCCCCATCTTGCCAGGTGTAACAGCAGCCCCTGACCACCCTCCTTGTTGAGATGACTCCACAGACAGGTGTAGATAGACATGTCTCCATTGTCCATGAGTGGCATGTTCTAGGATGTTCTGTGAGCATCCAAACTGGTAAATAGAACCAGACTATATTTTTCCTATATCTCCTGCAAGCCTGCAATAAAGTTTAATTTACAAACTAGGCACAGTAAGAGATTCATAGCAATAACTAATGATAAAGTAGAACAATTTCAGAAATAAATTATAAAACCGTAAATAACTGAAACCACACAAAACCACAGATAAAGAGAGATTGTGTACTGTCATATCACGTATTTATTGTAGTGTTATATTTTTCCTATATCTCCTGCAAGCCTGCAATAAAGTTTAATTTACAAACTAGGCACAGTAAGAGATTCATAGCAATAACTAATGATAAAGTAGAACAATTTCAGAAATAAATTATAAAACCGTAAATAACTGAAACCACACAAAACCACAGATAAAGAGAGATTGTATACTGTCATATCACGTATTTATTGTAGTGTGTGTGTGTGTGTGTGTGTGCGTGTGTGTGTGTAGCATGGACTCTGACTGACACTGTTTGTGAAGTAACACATATGTAAATAGTACTAGGGGTGGAACCTGGGACCTGGCACGTGCCAGGCAAGTGCTGTACCACTGAGCTACATCGCCACGTGTATTTTTTAAAGATCTTCTGCAGAACACAGCGTGAACTCTCTATTTTGCCCATGAAACGTTACCCGTCTCTCCAGCCACACCCTGTGTTCTGTGCCTTTAATTCCAACAATGGAGAATTACTGATCTCTGAAATTACTCTGAAGCCTTCTCTAAACAATTGTGGGTTTCTGTTAAGTGCCAGGCCCTAAGTAGTTGCTGGATACACCGAGGAGCTGGTAAAGTCTCTGCTATCCTGGAGGGAAGTCTAACAAGCCATGTACAAATGTAACCCAGGGTGTGTGGTCACTCCCCTCTGTGAAAGGTGGATGCATTTGGCATAGATTCACATTTCATGCTATGAGCTTTCAATCACTGCATAACAAATTGCCACTATCTTAGTGGGTTATAATGATGCTCATTTCTTTATCTCATGGTTTCTGAGCATCATTGTTCTCACTGAGTCCTAGACTGAGGTCTCACAAAGCAGCAGCTGAGGTGTTGGGGGCTGTGTAGCTTTCTATAGGGTTGATGGTCTTTGCAGTTGTAGGGCAGGTCCCACTTTCATGCTATTGTGATCTGGAAGCTGAAGTTGGATCCCAGGAACCATTGCACCTCCTTGACACATGTGGCCCTCACAGGCCCTTCACAACAAACCTGTCAAGACCAGTGAGAGAGTCTCTACCTCTAGTTTGTACAGACATAGTCCATGCAGAGTGTCATAGTCCCTGACATGACTACACCATGACCTTTGCCATATAATGAAGCATGCAAAGGAAGGAGGCCCGTCATCTTTGCCATATTCTGTTGTTAGGTCAAGTCGTGGGATCTGCTTGTACTCTGGCGAGGTAGTTATACAAGGACATGACTCATCAGGAATCACTATACACACCTTATAGCATCATCCCAAGGTTTACATACTCACTGGATGAGGGATGGAGTAGTAGTCTCAGAGTCTGAGTACAGGCTCTTATCTCTGCCACACATGTTCAGCTCTGGGATACTTAGTTGCTCTTCTCTGCACAATGATCAGGCCTCAGCATCCACTCCCATGCTCAATGTCAGCTGGAGGAAAAGCTTCTCATAAAGCTGTGGTTGGTACTCCACATAGCAAGACCAAGCGTTTAACATTTCAGACTGTCTTAGTCTTAAAAACACTGCAGCATGGCATTGGTCATAGTGACCGTGAGAGTTGCTGTAATGTTGATAAACTAGTATGTGTTAAGTAGCAAGTGGCAGGTATTGACCAAATGGTAGTGAGGAGAGTTGCTCCTGTTGACATCATCAAGATCACCACCATCATCACCCTCATTATCCCCGAGAAAAGGACTTTCGAGCTCAGAGTAGGTAGATTTCACACATGGATTGGAGTTTATGCATTTCAAGCAAAATAGCCAAACATATGAAGGGGATCGAGGATTGTTGTTAATTTCCTAGGCAGGTTTGTAAACCAGATTCGGCTCTGCAAATCAGCAGGTTTATTGATCACAAAATATGTTTAGAGACACAAAGGACCAAAGAACCTAAGTAATGGGTTCTGCCGGCTAGCTCGTTAAGTAACAGCATGTACCTTGCTTAAAGTCTTTCAGCCTTGTCTTCTATAAAGCTTGTGACACTGTCCAGTGGAGGACACAGCCTCCTGGCTGACACCCGCCACCCACCCCCATCATCTGCACATTGGACCAGTCAGGACTAAAGCTCTTTCTTCTTGTTCTTCCTCTCCTCTAGGTTTCTAATTGTTCTGGGATGCTTGATTCTGGCTGTACTGACCACCTTCAAGGAGTACGAGACTGTGTCTGGAGACTGGCTTCTGCTGCTGGTGAGCTATGGGCCACTGGCACTGTGCTCCAGTGTGGGTGACTTCTGTGTGGTGAAAAGGATCATCCTAATGATGATTGGCTTCCTAATGTCCCCAGCCAAGTCTAACCCAAGAGAAAAACAAGGCCTTCCTATCCTGGCCAGGCCTGCCATGGGCACAGTGTTCCTGATGAGGGTTTACTGTTCCAGATAACAAGAAGAGGAACATACAAGTCTAAGCCAAACCCATCACATATCATTAAATTATAAATCACAGCTTCCTGACTTTCTGAAAGGTCATCCAGAGGCGTATTCCTAAACTGGTTTCTGAAAATGTAAATTCAAGGATAATATTAGGAAATTCTCAGGGTGTTGGCTTTCCCAAAAGCTGAACTGACCAACCTTAGCCAGTTAGCAGAAATAGGATCTAAGCACACTGAACAGAAATTAGTAGATTGTGTGTGACTTGACTCCTTGGGACTTTTAATATATTCAAGACTTTTTAAATTATTGATTAGAACAAAAGCTTAGGAGTACCAAAAAACTAGACAAGGATTCATTTTGCTAGGACTAATAGTATTAGGGATCATTAGTGTGTCAAGATGAAGTTAGTAGCTCTCCAAAGCAGGATGGAGGTGGCCAACCTGTCCTCTCCTCACCCTCCCATCCCCCACAGCATCCTCACCACCAGAGGTGCCGCAGCAACAGAATCCCAGTTTCTCTGGTTTTCATCAGAGGTCATCAAGTCCTAACACTGGGCCCAAGGTAACCTACTCTCCATACGTTTTTCCACACAGGAAACATTTGCTATTTTCATCTTTGGAGCCGAGTTTGCTTTGAGGATCTGGGCCGCTGGATGTTGCTGTCGATACAAAGGCTGGCGGGGTCGGCTCAAGTTTGCCAGGAAACCCCTGTGCATGTTAGGTAAGCCCTGACAACTGAGTCCAGTGGTGGCCTCGTTTCTCTTCTATGTTATCTAGAGATGTCATAAAACTTACATGCCTTGATGGATATGTAGATTGCCAAGCTAGTCTATGCTGGAATTCCATCTTCTAGGGCTGTTTCTTGTGGTGCCTGGACAGGGTAGTAATTTTCAGTGGGTGAGAACAGGGTTTACTGTTTGCATTTAGGTTGTAAAGAATCCACAGGATACAAGATGAACATCCTCAGTGGCTAGGCTACTAGCACACCCAGTCACCAAGACAGCCACTAAGTATCTTCCAGGCTGGGTACAAAGTGTCACACCATTGCTAACTGGGAATGCCCTTCTATCAGACCACATCTTACCCAGTTAGTAGAGATAGAAACCAAGCCTCATGCAACTGAATCCTTTTCCAGTTGCACAGATGGTAAGCAGCAGATCCCATCCTAAACCCCAGTTCTGGAAGACTCCAGGGCCCATAACCTTCCCTATCACGAAATTGCTTGTGTCTTGAGCCACACATCGCTTCTGAGAGGTGTCACTGGAGCTTCTCTAGCCAGGTGTAGACACTTTGAGAGTAAACAGGTAGACTCCCTCCCTGACCCATGTTCCTGTGTGAAAACGCTACTGTATTAGTTACATTCCTGTTACTGTGATGAGACACCATGGCCATGGCAACTTATAGAAGGAAGAGTTTATTTGAGTTTATGGTTCCAGAGGGATTAGAGTCTTGTCATGGTGGGGAGGCATGGTGGCAGGAGAAGGCCAGAGAAGAAAGCTGAGGGATCACATCTGCAAGCAGAGGGAGGCAGGAAATCTGGCAAGGTTTAAGAACTCTCAAAGCCTGCCTCCAGTGACATGGTTCCTCCAGCATCACCACACCTCTTAAAGCCTTCCAAAACAGCGTCAACCAGCTGGGGGCAAAATGTCCAACTACTTGGAGCCTATGGAGGATATTCTCATTCATATCACCACAGCTACTGAAGGCCAGAAGTTCCTTGAGCAAAGCCAGGAGTCGTAGAGATCAGATCCCCAGGAAGGAAGAAGCAAGGTCATAGACTGTCAGAGCTGCATGGTCCTCCAGTGGTAGTCAACCAGGTGCTCTCATATCTGATGATCCCGCCCTCTGTGATAAGCTTTAGGTGGCACCTACACTCTGTGTGCATAATGCAGTCATGGAGTGCTCACCACCTATCAAAGTATTTATCCCCTTAACTCACCTGACCCTCTGGGGATGTTTGGGTCCAGCTACTCTGTTCCTTCTTTGCACCCCAGCAGTATTTTCTTACCCGGAAAAGACGTACCATCTCACTTTAGTTGCCCCTGACATGAGGGTGCTCAGCATCACAGTCTCTCTTTGAGCATGCCTTTCTGTTCTTCACCTCTTTTAAAAAGCAAACCTCAAAACTGAATCCTCAGGCACAGAGGACAGCCTAGAGCAACGCTGGGCCATGCCCCTGTCCTAAATGCCATGTGGCCCTCCCCATCTAAAGCTTGGGTCTTTGATGCTGTGTTCATTGCCCACTGAAACCTTGCGGGCTTCCTCCCACCTGATGCACAGGCTGGAATTCCTAGGGATTTGGTTTTGCTCAGAACGTTGACCCTCGTGTTTGTGAACACAGTTGTGGAGGACATTTTAGGTAACATTTCTATAATTTCTTTTCTTTTTCCCTTTCTGATATATATTCCCTACTTCCTCTCCTTGCTCACCTTTCCTTCCTTCCGTGGATTTCAGCAGCACAATGCATGGCTACAGGTGTGTGTGTGTGTGTGTGTGTGTGTGTGTGTGTGTGTGTTAGGGTGGGGGGATGACAGTTGGTTTGTGGTAGACTACATCCCAATTCAAAGAGCTTCCTGCCCAATTTGAGTCATCATCCTGTCACATGGAACCTGGGCCCCTCCTGAAGAAGTATTTCCATGGAGCCATCCTACTGTCCCAAGATGGGCTACAGTAAGAAGGCTCCAGGCTAGCCTCTCCTGCCCACCTTCCCTGGAGAGGTGAGGCTGGATCTCAGCATCACATTGTCCCTCCAGTGTCACTCTATTTCTGACCTTACTAACCTAGGCCTCTTTCAAATTTTTGCTTTTGTGGGAAATGGTGCTTCTTTCTGTATGTGACAAGACAGTGATTATCCTGAACATCCTGGCCTCAATATTCAAGGCAGCTTGGTGCCCATTGGGGTGTGCTTGGATCCATCTGGACCATCCTTACAGGGCATCATGGACCACAGCACTTATGATACTTCTGGATTTTGTTTTGTTTCATTCTGTTGTATGAATTGTAAGTTGAAAACTTTACACAGATAAAATGAAGCCTAGCTGGCAGTGTGAATTATCAGAACCCAAATGTTTAATCTCTCAGTTTTCTCAGAGGTCAGGATGACTGGAGGACTTTAGACACAGGACGAAAGGCATTCTCTTTTTTGACAGACATACCTAGGCTTGAATCGAGAAGTGTATTCCAAGCTGAGCATCCAAAACTTAAGCAGTGAGAGAGTGTGTCATGTTTGGCATAACACAAATACTTCCAGAAGTTTTCAGGGGCCAGAGGACATGAGGAGCTTAGATTTTCCCAGTAGATAAATGTTAAATATGTTCACAGAAGGAAGGAAGGGAGGGAGGGAGGGAGGGAGGAAGGGAGGAAGGAAGGGA